TTAACAGATAAAAGAATGAAAAAAAAAAAAAATAAAAAAAGAGAAAAAAACCATAATAGAAAAGAACATTTTGACGCCTCTTTTGGTCCAAGCCGCTCTCCGCCGGCGAGGGTGCCGGCAGCGGGGCCGGGCGCGTGCCCAGCGCTGCCAGGGGAAAGCCCTGGAGGAAAGGTGCGGAGGGGGGGCCGGTTACCTGCTGCCTGCATTTGCCCAACTCACGGGTTTGTGGCCTGGTTAACACTAAGAGAGAAAGAGTCATTTTCCGGGTTTAGTTTCACCGAAAGCCCCCTGTTCACGGCTTTCGTGCTGTCACCTCGCGCGGGCAGCAGGGCCGAGGCAAAGGGCGTCAAGCACCCTTCCCGTCACGCCCTGGGGCGGATACAGCCGCGATTTCACCTTTCTCTTAATAAACCAGCTTAACGCCTGACACGGAGACGTCCCAAGCAAGGGACCCGGGGCTTTGCGAGTCCGCGCGGATCCGAAGCTGTCGGCCGCTCGTCAGCGCTGGGACGCAGGGAACCTCGCAGATGAGATGTGGCTCACGCGCCTGGGCAATCTGGCTCAGCCCGACGAGCCGGCGGGGCCGAGCTCCCTGGGGGCCGGCGGGCAAAATATCCTTCTGCATCATCAGAAACGCGACACTTAGAATTGCCGATGCGCACTTCTCCCCGGCCCAGGCATCGAAATCGCTGTGGCGGCGATGCTGGCGGCAGCGTTCCCGCCGGAGCCGCGGCGCTGCAGGGGGAAGGGGGTAAAGGGGTCAGACGCTGCGGCTGCCATCCCCCTGTTTGCTAATTCCCAAGCCAAAATTGCCCTTTCCTGGCTGGGTGGGCACCTCCCGCACGTGGATTTTCCCTGGGTGGTCACAGAGCATCGCTTGCCTTTTGTTTTGGAAGAGGCATGAGAATTTCAACGTGGCCCTTCCCAGGATCGTCTCGGCTCCCACGTTCCCACAGGTGCTCCAGCTCAGGAATTAGGGAGGCAAGAGGGCGAGGAGGAGGAGTTATAGCAGGGCTGATAAAGTAAAACCGAGCAAGCTGGCGGCGTTATCCACTTTCCCTGATAGGCAAAGAAAAAATAAGACACCCGGTAAGGCTTAAACGCCACGTAAGAAATTCTGCCCGTTTCGGGAGCCTGCGAGGCTATTAAGAGCGAGAGATCGGGAGGCAACGTTGGTCGCTGTAATTTTTACTACGGGGTCCCTGCGTGCTGCCACAGGCACGCGGCTTCACTCGAACAGCTCCCGGCCCCGGCTTCGTCAC